TAAAATATAATACCATAAAACTATATTTTATCAAAAATGGAATATTTGCATTTATTGCATATCTTTTTAAAACATAAATCTACGGTTAGACTTAATAAATATATAACAAAATTAATTATAAATAACCATTATGATTCACAAAAACATTTATTAATAATATTTTCCATTAAGTCTTTTTTTAAGCAAGTGAATAAAGGCTTGAGTATGTTTGTATTAAAATCGATAAGCTCTCATTCTTCTCTTCCAATTTTTAACCACTATGGTCATACACACATTCCTTCATGAAATTTAATATTAAATATTATGTCTCTATTATTAAGTTTCTAAATTATTTGGAGTACAATGCAATTTATTTTGGTTTTCCCTGTTTATAAATTTTATAGTGTGACCTGAAGATGCTTTAATTTATAACCAAATTTCGAATGCATATAAAAGCAAATAAAGGATCATATACTTTTATTAAATTATTAACCCTTGTCGTTCAAAATTCAGGAATAATATCATACAATTTATTTAAAAATTTAAATGAAATTTTAATATCATTAAAGTATTTTATAAAAACAATATATTATATTATACAAGTAGGTCATATAACTTCAAAGTTTTATAATTAATTTAATGTATTTAACTTTTATAGTTAATTAATTTAATAATAAAAAATTAAAGATGTGATTAATTAAGAACTTAAATGATCAATAAAATTATTGAAAATTATTAAAAGCATAAAATAAGACAAATTTTATGTTGCTATAATTTAAAAATAGTATTATTTACAAGTTATACATATTTGAAACCTTATAACTTGTAAAAACTTGTTCCTTGTATCAAAAAAAATTTTTTACGTATACTTTTATATTGTATGTTTAAAAAATATTGTTTTAGCAAAGTTTTTTTCGATACAATTTTATTATAACATTTTTAAACACATTTGACTGAATCACCTGTAGATTAAATAGATGAACTACAGATCGTTCAACCCACATATATACATACATACATATATATACAAACGTATTTATAGAAAGAGTTTGCGGATTTCAGTGATTTACTGCCTTTTTCATCTGTCCATATCGTAATTTACATGTGTATAAAAAAAGCATTGCCTATAAAATCGATAAAGCACAACCGCAGTGAATAAGTTATACGTTTCAAATTTATGCAGATGGTGTATGTAATAGGTGTGTATGCGTACGTATCGTTATAAGATATCACACTGAAATTGGAATGAGGTTTTTCATCAATCTACATATATTCATTCAAAATTATACAAAAATAAATTTTACTTAAATGATATTATCGTTTTTTCGATAAACAGAATATCTAATTCTGAAATAATCAATGACTTAAAAGTGAAAGCTGCTCTATAACTTGAAACATGTAATATTCGACTGAATGCCAAGAAATAATTGTAACAAGATTTTTATTTACTTTAATTTTTTTCAATTTGTTTTTATAAAATACGAACCAGTTGTGACAATGAACTAAAATAAAAGATACAAAAAATAGATACAGATAAATAGATATAGACCAAAAAAATTGCGCAATTAATTATTTCACTGTATACTTTAAAATACAATAGTAGTTTAAAATTAGAAAAAGTTTCTAAACGAAGATAAATAGGTACAGAAAGACAAAAATGCTAAAACCATTATTGAATCAATAAAAAAACTGCTAGAAATAATAGTATTAAGCTAAAATTGAAATACTAGGCATATCCATGACTAGTATTAATTCCTAATATTGCAAGCTGTAACAGAGAAAAACTATATATATATATATATATATATATATATATGATAAATTAAAAAAATTCAAGATTAAATTAGATAAAATAGAAATAAAAACAAAGATAATACATATTGAAAATGTAATGATGGAAAATTATATTTTTCCCCTTGTACACGTTATACAATTACACTTTTTTATAAATATAAGCTAAATATACAAATATTCATTAAATTGCAATAACAACAAAATAAACAAATTGTTGACCCTGATTATTTCATCGTAGTCCAGATTTATATTTATATCAATTAAATAAAATAGAAAAAATCAATACCATTATATCATTTACAATTAATGTATAAATTCTAAAGTTTCATTTACATATTTTATATTCGTAATAAGCTCTGAATTTTTCTGTTAATATAAAATTTACTTTAATAGTAAAACACTTAGAAATAACTCGAATAACTATTTACATCATATTAATGCTAAAGGCATTTCAAAGAATAATATTCCATATTTAAAAATATATTAACTAAAATAATACGTAAATTTAATTTTTGGTAATTTAAAAATAATAAATAATATTCATTGAAAATCACACATACACTAACTAAAATAATGCATGAAATACCACAAAAATGCAAAATAAACCATGTCAAACATCAGCATTATTAATCATAAAAATATTCACTGCTATCTTCAGATAATATTATTATCAAAGTATTAAATCTTCGCTGACTCCATTTATCTATTTTGACAATATCTATTTTGACTCTTTTTACAGGATCTACAATTACTCTTTACCTTCATAATTGCTCGTTTCTTCTTGATCTTTTTCACGTTCAATCATATATTGACACATTAATGTATCGATTCGCTAAATTCCATTTTATTTGGATCCGCTTTTATTCCATGGAAGATAACTTTAATTATATTATTATATATAACTATATATATAACTCTGAAATATAAATTTTGTATATAAATATATATATATATATATATATATATATATATATATATATATATATATATATCAAATAAAAAGATAAAAAAAATATATAT